GGAGTTCTTCTTCATCTGCATATGATTGTTGAACCTCGAAGTAAGAAGGGCTATTTGCCTCTGAAAATCATGCATCTCATCATCATCTGAATCATTCCTCATTCCTGCGTCACTGTCAGTAGTCTCACTTTCTTCAACCATCATTTTATCCTTCTTGGAACCAGACTTCGATGGCTTGTCAAGCATCAGGGCAAGGGTGTCAGCAAGCTTGTCCACGGCTCCCTTCCCTTTATCAGCTGTCACAGAGGCGACCACGAGGTCAGAAAAATCTTCAGCATATTGGTCAAGTGTGTTATACACTGCATGAATATCCATCTCATCCAGATCCTTCGTGTGCCTTATCTGTGAGCTCAGCTTCTTCCAGTCAGCTCCAAGAGAAGATAGAAATCTCACGTTCAGTTCCATATTGGACTTATGCACGCCAATCTTTCTCATCTCATTTATCAGTTGCAGAAATCTCAGGTAGGTGTCTTCAAGTGATTCTCCAAGCTTGGCTTTGAATGAGTCATAAGCAGTGAATGTGCTAGCTTTCTTCGCCTTTACTCCGATCTCCGTGCCTTGCATGATCTTAAAGATCTCATCCCACATCTCTTTTGCAGTTGACATGCTGTCAATCTGCATATAGATGTCGTTCGGGATGGCCTGCAACAAGTAGGTCTTGGCAATGAGATCTGCACGGAGTCTTGCTCTGTCCTCGTCATCATATTCATCAGCCGTCTTGGGTCTCCACTCAATCTCCACCGGTGGGTTGTTCCCGTTGTCTCTCTCAACAGCTATCATCAATTGAGCGGGTCCATTGGTGATAGAGTCAAGAAGACCTGAGGATTGGTCCTTGCTCTCAAGAAAATTTAAGAATCTGTTCTTCCATACATTATACTCCCCTCTTCGAAGAATCGGGGGTCTTGTATCATTTCCGATTGATAATGCGTCCATGTTAAATGATCGGGCTGATCAGTTGATTGATTTGATTCTGTCTTGTTGTTTTTAGTACTTTGGGCAGAAGGTTCTTGTTCAGAAAAGATTGCAAGTGTGAGATCGCGCAGATGTTGGAAGATCGCTCAACACTTAAAAATTCTAAGTCCAAATCACTCAAGTCCAAAGATGGGGCAGTTTCTTAGATCGGGCGAATCCAAAATGTGCAAATCAGCAATCGCGCAGGTGTACTTGCGCGAAGTGAGGATCGCGCAGAAGTGCAAAATCGCGCAGGATGAGTTGCGCGATATCTCAAATCGCGCAGGGGTGAAATCTTCAAACTGTAGATCGCGCAGATATGAAATCGGGCAACTCCAAAAGATCGCTCAAGATCAAAATCGCGCAGAGTGCTTCGCGCGAAGTTGAAATCGCTCAACTCCAAAATCGGGCAACCTAAGTTGCGCGAAAGTGGAAATCGGGCAGGAGTGCTTTTGCGCGAAACCTGTTCTTCTTCCCTAGGAGTTGCGCTAAACTGCAGAATCGCTCAACTTCAGCTTCACCTGTACGTCAAATTTCAGATCGAGATTTTCTCCAGGAATGATCCTAGCAACAGTAGAAACCTTTTCCTTCAGCCATTTTCCTGTAAAAACAACAACAAAAATAGAGCCAGAAATCGCTCAAGTGCGAATCTTCAACGGTGAAGAAACGCGCAAGTGTATTTTTCCAGCTTTCAATCGATCGATCAGCTCCGGCTCTGATACCAGATGTTAGGTCCCTGTTTTCTAGTCTAGAATATGTATGTATGGAAGACAGATCTGGGAATGAAGCTTTCCATTGAATGATGAAGAAGTTTACAGAATGATGAACAATTTAGCGTAAAACTTCTATCACCGATTTAGGCACTGCGGCACTAGGAATGTTACGAAAAGCTTAACCTAGCCTTTCCCTTAAGGCATATATATAGCCTGACGGGAAAGGTAGGTTTTACAATCATTTGGGCTCCTTTTCCTAGGAGGCCCATACCTAAAAAGGTATAAAACCTTTATTACAAACTTGCCTTAAAAGGCCTATTCATTATTCTAGCTAGTCTATTAAATTAAAATGCTAATTATAAAGAGCTAAGAAACATTGATCACAATACAATGAAAATATCTCTAACAATTGGTCAATCTCCTGGTTCTTTCTTTGAATTTTGTAGAGAACATGGAATAGTTAACCAATACACCATGCTAGGTACTCCTCAACAGAACGGCGTCGCCGAGAGGAGAATTAGAACCCTTATGGACATGGTGCGGAGTATGATGGCTAACTCCACATTGCCTCAATACTTATGGACAGAAGCATTAAAAACGGCAGTTCATATCTTGAATAGGGTTCCTTCAAAATCTGTCTCTAAAACTCCTTATGAATAATGGACAGGAAGAAAACCAAGTTTACGCTATCTCAAGATATGGGGATGTCCAGCTGAAGCTAAACTCTATAATCCCCAACAAAGAAAACTTGACATGAAAACTATCAGTTGTTCTTTTATTGGATATCCCGAAAGTTCTAAGGGATACCGGTTTTATTGCCCTTCACATAGTACACGCATTTTGAGACCAGACATGCTGAGTTCCTAGAGAATTCTAACATGAGTGGGAGTTCTTCACCTAATGTTGTTGATCTCCAAGAGATGAGGGAGGAGAGTACAATGGTTATACCGATCCGGCGATCCATATTATGCCTAATGCATCTCTTGAAGATGATGGTGCCTCAAATGTACCATTTAATGAAGGTACATCCAGTGGTACATCACATTTTGAGGCAAATGACAACATAAACCAACTCAATTCAATTCCGGAGATTCAAGTAGAATCTCATGAGCCCGAACCGCCACTAAGGAGATCTCACAGATGTAGATGCCCTACTAATTTTGATGATTACGTCGTATACCTTAATGAGGCTATTAGTGACTTGGGAAAATGCAATGATCCCATTACTTATAATGAAGCTATTATGAGCGATCAATCTCCTCATTGGAATGAAGCAATGATTGATGAGATTGATTCCATGAGCAAAACAAATGTGTGGGAACTTGCTGAATTACCTAAGTGTGCTAAACCCGTAGGATGCAAGTGGGTTTTCAAAACGAAACTTGACCCGAAAGGAAACATTGAACGTTATAAAGCGAGGTTGGTTGCGAAGGGTTATACCCAAAAGGAAGGAATTGACTATCAGGAAACATTCTCACCGGTTTCGAGAAAGGATTCCTTAAGGATTGTCATGGCCTATTGGCCTTAGTAGCTCATTTCGATTTAGAACTACATCAAATGGACGTTAAAACGACATTTCTTAATGGAGACTTACATGAGGATGGATATATGTCCCAACCAGAAAGTTTCAAGTCTAAGGGACAGGAACACCTAGTTTGTAAACTTAAGAAATCAATTTATGGGCTCAAACAAGCATCACGTCAGTGGTACTTGAAGTTTGATGAAGTCATGAAGAAAAATGGATTCATAAAGAATCAAGTTGATCAATGTACATATCTGAGAATGAGTGGGAGCAAGTTTGCCATTCTAGTACTTTACGTTGATGATATTTTGTTGGCAAGCAACAACTTAGATATGTTGCATGAGTCAAAGCGATTACTTTCACCTAATTTTGACATGAAGGATCTTGGAGAAGCCTCTTATGTGATAGGCATTGAAGTCCATCGAGATCGCGCCAATGGGACTTTAGGTTTGTCTCAAAAGGCATACATTGAACGTGTCCTCACGCGTTTCAATATGCAACATTGTTCCCCATCAGTTGCTCCAGTAGTTAAGGGAGATGTTTATGGTTTATTTCAGTGTCCAAAAACTGAAGAAGAAAAGGAGCAAATGAGACTAATTCCCGATGCATCAGTAGTAGGGTGTTTGATGTATGCTCAAGTTTGTACTCGTCCTGATATCGCTTATATATCTGGCATGCTAGGCAGGTATCAATCTAACCCTGGACTAGATCATTGGAAAGCCGCTAAGAAAGTATTAAGATATCTTCAAGGGACAAAAGATTACAAACTTGTTTATAAAAGAACTAATGATTTGGAAGTTGTGGGATTTTCTGATTCTGACTTTGCTAAATGCAAAGACGATAAGAAGTCGACATCGGGATATATTTTTATGATGTCAGGTGGGCCGATATGATGGAGGAGTCATAAACAGGAATTGACTACCACCTCAACTATGATGGCGGAATATGTTGCGGTTTACAATGCAACATGTCATGGAATGCTATTGAGGAATCTAATTAAAGAACTCAAGGTAGTAAACTCCATTTCGAGACCACTGAAGATTTATTGTGATAATTCTGTAGCCGTAAGCTTTTCAAATGGAAATAGTTCGAGCGGGGCTGGATTATATCTCGATACAAAGTTCCTGTTTGTACGTGAACGAGTGGAAGAAAATAATCTTTGTATCGAGTACATTAGCACTCATGATATGCTAGCGGATCCGATGACTAAAGGTCTAGTGATGAAAATGTGATGAAATGGGTTTTAGTCGAGACCTCACTTAATTGGCATAGTGCTCTTATGAACAATTCATGTATATAAATAAATACTTGAATTCTTAATTGTCTATTACATGTATACCGTGCGCACTTATTTTGGTATCATAGACAAAAATTATCCCATTACATTTGATCATTTATGTTTAATGACCTTAAAGTCCTAATACATGTGCTATAATATGATTAGTGGGGTCCTATATCTACATAGATGCATGTGACTATACTTCTCTATTATAGTATAGATATTGGGTATGTAGAACACATACTCGGCCAACTTAATGATTATTAGTCACTCGGCTAAGTGGGAGAATAATGTTGGATTATTTCTAATTAGTGTGGCCTTAAGACCAATATTAATATGTGTTCAATGTTTATGTAATATATATATATATATATATATATATAATTATGTATTATATATATATGTATTATTTGATGGAAATAATACTTAACAGGTACCAATGTGGTCACACCCTTTAGGACAAGAATGAAGAGTTGTGAGTATTGAGTATTCTTATTATAAATACTCATTTTCTCTACCCATTGCATCACACGCACATACACATGCATTATTCAAACACCATAAAGTTGAGAGAGAAATCACAACTCTCTAAATTTCACTCCATCTATTATTGTCCTAAAAGGGATTACACATCCGTTCATCACAAGGACAACAATGGCTTTTCATCATCTAATCATGGTCTACCAAAGATTGGTTTCCCATCATGTAAGTTTATTGAACTTGTATATGATTATAATTTTAATATGTTTTGTGATGTGTAGATCTTGATTCTCATGTATTGAAATAATCAACAAAGAATACATATTGAAATGCATAAAACACAACTAGTTATCCTACCATTCATCTATTTTTTTCAAAGCACATTCGTTTATCTATCTTGCATGTAAGAAAGAATTAACTATCAAACTCAATAGATCTGTATATGAATTCATTTGCTCGACATTGAAAAAGTTATGAAGAAACTTTCACGCCGCGCCGGCCATATGGTAAAAGAACATTGTCATATCCATAAAGTTTGAGGACGCCCCCTAAAAATTAAATGAACCAAAAAGCATATATATATTGTCTAGAGCAAATCGTTTGCTTCCCTTTCATCTCGAATAATGTACGTCATTTAGATTACCTCCTTGAAATACAACACCACTTACAAATAATCAACCATCACCAGCACGAATGTCAGCAAAGAGAACGATTGCTGAAAAAACGGCTTACTTTGATTAGCATGCAAACAAGTATTATTCCTCTTATGTATCCTATATTTTGATTTGACGTAATTATTTAGATCGTCCAAAAAGTAAAATATATCGTGGAGACCTGAGTATAATAAAGTGAATGTTATAGACTATATGTTTCATCCGTTCTTTTTTAATTATTGCACCAATCCACTTTTCATGTTTGTCAACGCACAAGTTTGACCATTAAAATCCTTCATTCCTTATTAGTAAAAAAATTGAAAAATTCAGAATTTGAAAATTTAAAATGAGATGAATTTAAAAATATTTTTAAAAATTTAATTCATAATATATTAATAAATAAAATATAGCAAAGTAGAATATGTGAATAGTGCAAAAATCCAATGTTGCAATTAAAAGAGAATGAGAGTAATATATTTTTTCAAAACAAAAAAATAACAGTTATTTTGGATCAACCCAAAATGCAAAGTAGGGCAGGTAAAATGGGACGTAGAGAGTATTACGTCTTCCAACATCGGCCAAATACAACATAAAAACTCATAGAGAGTACTCCGATCCCTCTGTCCCAATATTATTTCCTTTTTTTACTTTGCTCGCGAATTAAAAAAAATGAGAAATTTGTGACCTAAAGTAGTGCAGAGGGAGTAACTCGAAACAAATCTTATGAACCACAAATTTTTATCAAAAAAAGATATAGAAATCTATATCAGAACAAACTGATAGGCAAAGAATAAAATTAATATTGGAACAGAGGGAGTATATAATTGATTTTTAACATACTTCACACTTTCACTTTCTAAGACAAGAAGGTTTGACGCATTTTTTAAATCACAGGGGGTTAATGCGCTGAATTTCTATATGACGAGAGAATTTGGTGCATTAAATCCATGAAACACTTTCTGTTGACATTTCATCCAATTTCGATCAAACGACTTATCAATCTCGCTAAAACTAAAAGCGGGAAAACGAGTTGAAATGTAAAGATACAAACATGCTTAGCTTATACGAGATTGAATAATTAACTGCCTTACTATTGGACTGACTGAGATTCAACTCTTATTTAAATGAAGCATCAAATAAAAAGTACCGTATACAATCGCTGTAAAAACCTCATTTGCTATCTTCATCCAAGTACTAGTCCATCCAGAATCAATTGCAAACCTGCATAACCCAATCAATGTGGTTCATGATCATATTTTTGTATGCATATTTAATTGAACTACAACTAGATCTACAAGCTTTTATGAGATATACTCCGTATTATTCTTTATATACGACTAGTTTTTGGGAAATTTTCCTAAATATGACTAAATATTCATACGGAGTATATTATTAAGGATGTTTTTACTAGGACTATTTTCAGTCCCAGACCAGACGAGATCATACCAGATCATACCTAACCTGACCAGACTTGAAAGACCAGATCAGATCACAGAGATCAGTCATTTATCAGATCAGACCAAAAAATTCCAGTTCGAGTAAAAACATCCTAATTTAGGAAATTCATAAAAAAAGTAGGGAAACAATTATACAAGTATACAATATATAATCCAGAACGCCATCATTATTGCCTACTTTTTATCCGAAGGGTGATGGATATTCCAATTGACAAATAGCATTGCCGAATACATGGAGGCTGTGGCAAAAACAAGGTGAAAGAATCCATAGCCATATGGAACATCATCATCATCATAATCATATTTGTTCTGAGGTATGCATGGTATATGTTTTGTTATGACCCTGAATGATTCGGAATCGATGCCTGTTGAGTACACTGCAAACACCATTGCACCGAAAGCCACCAGAAAGCCCTGCATGATGAGTTTATCAGAAAATGTAATGAGTAGGTAAACTTCTGATAAAAAAATATCAACTATTAAGAACTTTTCAGTTTATGGGCTTGGTCTTAATAGTAATTGCAATTCAACAATGTTAAATTTTACACTATTAACATGTTTTACTTTTACTATAATTTATTCATTAATGTCTTACCGAATTAATTTTTTAAAAATATCATTAAATTTGTCTTGTCGTAAAATTTCAAAATGCGATATTTATTCATTTTTTTTTATTCTAAAAAATGCATAGGGCTTCTGCAAGTACCGGAGACAGGGCCCCACTCTCTATCTGTCAGATTGTGATTATAGTCCAATTTACATCCTCCCATCGTGCCGTCCGGTCGGTGTTGGGGGGCCCTCAGGGATGGGGTGTCATCCTTTTTTTTTTTTCAAAATGCGATTTTTTATTTTTTATTACATAATATAGAAAACATGGTCAAATATTGTATTGTCATAAATTTCTTAATTTTTATTTTTATTAGAGAGTTAAATATATAAATGGTCAAAATTGTGCATTGACAATCGTGAAAAGAGAAGTGTTGCAATAAAAAGAAAACACTAGAACCATTAATAAACCGGTTATTGAAACATTACTATGATGGTGAGCGCATCAACTTTAGACGTATCAGATCCTCCCCATCCCGCACATTTGTCAACCGGAGGTTCACTACATGCATGGAAATATAATTGTTAGAGTATTTGTTCAACACCGGAAAGTTATAAAACAATAAATAATTATATAAGGCTTTGAGATACTCCTCCTATTAGGTTAACCTCTTAGAATGGAACTCATAATCTTATTAACATGGTATCAGAGCCAATTCCGGTTGTGGTTTGATGGGTTGTTTACCACCCATGATTAGTGGTAGCTTGTTAAGGGTTTGTTTGGCCAATCTATACACCCTGATATTGTCCAGTCCGGTCCGGGCTGAGGGGGCGTGAGAATTTTTGTCCCACACCGGAAATCTATAAAACAAATAAACACTATATAAGGCTTTTGACTACTCCTCCTACCAGGTTAATCTTTAAGATGGAACCCCAATCTTAACCATAATTCATTGAAACACATCTAGAAATTTTCTTCAGGGTTCAAACACGCACTAGAATATTAATAAACCCATTTATTAAAGATTAGAACGTATAATATCATCACCAATAATGTAATGCTCTCTCCGGGGCTCTGTCCGCCCAATGAATTTGAGGCCTCACATTAATATAAAAACTAAAATATATTTAGAATCTAAACACTTAATTATACTCAAATAAATTGAACAAGCATTAAACAACAATTTAAAAATAATTAAAAAATAACCAAAAATATTTAAAATTTGAATTGAAGCAACATACAACTGAAAAGCAACATAACTGATCATTGCTCAAGCAATTTAATAAAAAGCAGTGGATATGCAGTACTCTTGCATACTTCGTATATACTAGTATACTTTATCAATCGATATCTCTCCATCCCCTAACTTTATCTCGTTTTATCTTTTACATCTGTGTCATTAAGTTTGTCTCGTACCATATTTAGTAATATTTGGGTGATTACAATTCATTCTTACTTTATTCACTTTATTAATTCAATATCAACCAAACAATTTTATTTTTTCTTAAAAGTTGTGTCACACCCTCTTGTCCCAAACATAGTGGGACAGAGGTAGTACTACACTACTACGTATAATACTAATATTTTTTTTTAAAAATGAGGCTCTTTTATTTGGTGACCCTTTCTGTATAACCAGTTCATCTATTCAGAAACGCTCCTTCTGTCCCTTTATGTAACATACTTTTCCTTTTTGAATTGTCCAAAAAATATGAGGATTTTTCAAGCTGAGCTCAACAATCTTTTTACTTTCGCACTTAATATATTCCTTTATTGATCATTTCAACCTTTACTTTCCATTGTCCCATCTTACTTTTCTTACGTTTGGAGGTTACAATTGTAACATAAAGACTTTATTTTTTTCTTTCTAAAAAGTCGCGCCAAATCAGCATGTATTTTGCATTATCAGAGAGAGGTATCGTTAGTTCCGATGTATAAAAAAAAAGAGGTATTGTATTCTAAAATCAACTATCATTAATGAACAATTTGATGAAAATATATTATGATATCATACTTCACTTTTGATTCCGTCAAAAAAATCTTGACATTTTTCTAAATAAAACATTTGGTATCCCATAGAATTTCACTTCCTCATAAACAAATCTTAGTAACATAAATTACTTTGCCAAGAAAGTCACGGTTTGACTTCTCTAGCTAGGATTAAGGAAATAAATTTACTTTTCTGTAGAAAACACTGTTTAGATACTGTTTGACACTGTTTAGACATTATTTGGTACTGTTTGACATTGTTTGACACTGTTTTGAAGTAGATTTCTTTGCCAAATAAGGAAATAAGGGAAGTGTGACTTTGTTTTTGAAACATCCAAAAAAGAAAAGTGTGACTTTGTTTGCGAAATGGAGGGAGTAATTTGTTAAAAATTACGACGATTAATAAATGATTTAAATAAGGGATGAATCAAGTACATGTACATAGTCATATATATAGTCACATTTAATTTAAGTAGTTTTTAATATATGCAAAGCCTTATATTAAATTATAATATTTTGATTATTTGAGTGAGATTTAAACCTTCAAATAGAACAAATATTAAAAACTAGGGAAAAGGGGCAAATAAGCCCTCGAACTAATTAAAAAAGTGCAAATAAGCCCTTTTGTAGGAAGTTCTGTCCGATCATCGTTATATGGGGAGGTTCTCGGTGGAGTTTTTTGATGAATTTTTTTGACCATCTTCTTCATTAAGTCTAGTTTAGCCATACCAAATTTTAGCTAAAAATTCAACCGGGAAGACACTCAAATGATTTTCGGAAATACACTGCTTTGTTTAACTGTGCAGTTATCTTCAAAAATTCATTTGACTGTCTTCCCAATTGAATTTTTAGCTGAAATTTGGTATGACTAAACTAGACTTAATGAATCAGATACTCAAAAAAATTCATCAAAAAATTCCGCCGGGAACCCAAATGACGATGGCCGGACGGAACCTCCTACAAAAGGGCTTATTTGCACTTTTTTTATTAGCTCGAGAGCTTATTTGCCCCTTTTCCCTAAAAACTATCAAGTCACTTCAAAAAATCTTAGCATTAAAAAAATCCACTAGAAGAGATCCAACTCTACATTTTAGTACTAATGATGTACAATATAAGGAATTGAACATATGACCTTCCCGCAATTAATAGTTATTAGTAAGTAATATAATATCCATACATTACTAACATTTATTATATTATATTATATTATATTATATTATATTATATTATATTATATTATATTATATTATATTATATTATATTATATTATATTATATTATATTATATTATATTATATTATATTATATTATATTATATTATATTATATTATATTATATTATATTATATTATATTATATTATATTATATTATATTATATTATATTATATTATATTATATTATATTATATTATATTATATTATATTATATTATATTATATTATATTATATTATATTATATTATATTATATTATATTATATTATATTATATTATATTATATTATATTATATTATATTATATTATATTATATTATATTATATTATATTATATTATATTATATTATATTATATTATATTATATTGTGTTATATTGTGTTATATTGTGTTATGTTGTGTTATGTTGTGTTGTATTGTGTTGTGTTGTGTTGTGTTGTGTTGTGTTGTGTTGTGTTGTGTTGTATTATATTATACTATATTATATTGTACTATATTATATTACACACACACTACATATTGGGGTTGGGTGGGGATTAAGAGGGAGAAACTGCCCTATGCCTCCCTTATGGACCCCGCCCCTCCAAACATTATTTGAATGCAGAGAAAATTTTAAATTAAGACTCGTAATTTTTGATAGTATTCTTTTTTAGTGTTGTAACTTTACTTGTAAATTTGATTTTCTAACTAATAAAATTACCCACACTAAGTCATTAAGGAGAAATGACGTACTATTCTATCGAAAAGATATTAGTGATATCTTTTTTGTATGTTCTTTTCCGTATAATGTATATTCTGATGAAGATATTTATTAGTTGCAGCATCAATTTTGCAAGTGAGCAAAATAGCGAGACTAGCTAGTAGAGGGCACAATCAAAAGTTTCAAGACTAAAATAACAAATCCTACTTAGATTGTAAATAACAAAAAATTAATTACATGAAGTCGTACTAAAGTGAAATAGTAGTGATGGTGGTGGTTATGGTGGTAACATTAGTAGTAGTTATAGCAATAATAATATTAATAGTAATAATTATAATTATAAAATAATAATAATAATAATAATAATAATAATAACAATCACAAATATAATACCTTTTTATTGCTGACCCACAGAGGAATAAAACATATGTTCCCATTAAACTCGAACGCAAAGAAACAGCTTTCGCCTGTAATATCAATGAAATCAGTGTCCACTAATTTAGAGTGCAGAAATCGTGATCATTTATAGCTTATCAAACACAAATTATGAGTTTGTATTCCGGTTCATGACCATACACATTTATAATTATATGATAATGCACACTCCAAATAGGTAGAGAAAGGTTTGATTTAATCACAAAAATGTCACCCATTTTCTAGTGGACATTTCTCTTTCGCGTGAAGCATAATTCTTAAATTTAACGCATCATATCGGATTCATTTTCATCTCTCTCCTAAAATCAGGCTTTCCTTTGTTCCCAATGGTATACATAGGATCCGGCTCCATGAGAGCATTTCTTTCCGTGACAAATGAGAATAATCCGAAATGATGCACATTACAATTGACGATGGTGCAATTATTTATGATATTTGAATGTTGTGGCCAAAGTTTAAAAAGTGAATCAGATGATCCTCACATTGCATCGAATTGATTTACAAGTGTCATGTTTTCTTGTTTGCACGTTAAAAACCATTTTCATTAAAACCCCTATGTACACACATATACATGGATGTCTAGTGACAACTCATCCTACAATAACAACTTCTTATAATGAATGAGACATTTTGATCCTATTTGTACTTACCCCTATTTCAAATGATATTTTTTGCAATTTAATATTAAATAATTACAAAAACGTCATATAATCAATATTAGCTATTGATTGCAAAACTAATGAGAAAAGATTAAAAGTTCTATTTAACAATGGTTTAAATCTATTTTTAATTTAGTCCCTTCAAATATAGTAAATTTTGTTTTACAATCATGCAACTTGAAATTTATGTTGGTTTCCTTTTTAGTTCATACTTTTATAATGTATGATGATTTATATGGTCCTGGATTCCCCACCCCACATACTCATGCCACTCAAGGACAGGCTCAACAGACCACTAAAAGCCCAACAAGCAATTAGTTACCGCTTGACATATTTCCCTCGACGTGTACTCCTAGGCACACCAAGGTCGGAAACCTCGGCTCCTTCTCCTATAGTCATCAGGAGGCCCATTTATTACGCCAACATATGTCTGGTACTGCCCACTTGAGAGCATCTCTCCAAATATTAAACCTTTTGATGTAATTGGGCTTGCTAGGCCCAACCTAACATCTGAGCCCATATTTTCCCCATATATACTCCCACCTGGGAGCTTCGTAAGGGTTGGATTCTTAATGTACTTTCTCATTTCTCTCTCTATCTCTAAATTATCTTTACAATAGTGTATGTATGGGTAGTCAGTGTTTATAAATGTGAATAATTAGTTATACATTGTTTTAAGTCTCATATTAGCCTCAAAAAACTATACAAGGGTCAATAAAAAGGTTTCTAGTAGATTTATGCAACCGAAAATATTGTTTTCTCTAAGTAGAGTGGTTTAACAACAAGGATGTTTTTACTTGGACTGTAATTTGTCCCAGACCAGACCAGACCAGTCCAGACCAGACCAGACCAGACTTGGATAGTTATAAAAATACAAAGAAACCAGACCTTACCAGACCAGACCAGACCAGTTCAGACCAGACCAGACCAGACCAGACCAGCAAATTACAATCCAAGTAAAAACATCCTAAGAGATGAACTCAATCCAAAATAGGAGAAAATTCCTAAACAACGGGAGCTTCCAACACCCCATCCCAAATCAAGGAATTCCATCTTATGGTACAAAAAGTGAAAAAGGGGAATTTGGAATTGCCAATTCCGAATGGAAAAAAAGGGTTGGGGTAGGGGACATAGGTGGGGTTAGGAAAAATATAAAAGTCCATTTTTTTAGAAATGCTGTAACTTATGCAATTGTGGTCCCGTTTTTACAAAAATATATTAAAGTTCATAATTTTTTATGATCTTTCATATGACACTAATATTTCATACCCCGTATATAACAAAATTAAAAAAAAAGAAATTTAAACAGTAGGATCTTTTCAGTTAAGTTTTTCTTAAATAGATCCAAGTGTTAAAATTAAAACCTTATTTTTAAAATAACTGAAAGATGTTAATAAAAGTTATGTTAGTGATGGGATCTTAATTTTAGCACTTGAATCTATTTAGGTAAAATTTTGGGCCTGAAAACTTTCCACAATTGAAACTTAAAAAAATAAATTAAATTTTATGTATGGAATATCGAGGTCATTAGAAAGATCATAAAATTTTATAGATTTTGATATAATTTTCGTAAAATGTGGAATACAAATAAAAAAGTTACATAACTTAACAAAAAAATGGGATTTTACATTTGTCAAGCACCCTCCCCCTCCCATAATCTCAATCGGAAATGTGATGAGGGGTTACTATGCTGAAAAATGCATAGGACTTCTTTAAGTACCGGAGACAGAACCTCACTCTCTATCTGTCAGATTGTGATTATAGTCCAATTTGCATCCTCCCATCGTACCGTCCGGTCGGTGTTGGGGGCCCTCAGGGATGAGGTGTCATCTTTTTTTCGGAAACCCCATTTCCGAAAAAACCTTCACCCAAAAATTCATTTAGAATTCCCATTTCAAATTCTGATTTTTTAGCACGCCGTGTTACCTATTCCCGTATTTTCGGAAAAGACCCCCAAAATAGTGCATGTCATGGGAAGCAAACAAGATATAGTTTCCATGGACCTAAAATAAACTATGTCATGTTTGTACGTACTAAACAAGTATGTAAGCCTTTTAAAATTGATCCTCCTAATTGAGAAAGTTTCTCATAAGAACCTTTTTATTTTTTATTTTTACTCCAGGGGGTCTGAGGGGTCTGGAATAATTAGGGCTGAAACTCACTCCATTGAGTTTCAAACCCTTATGTGTCTAGCGGGTTTCGAACTCGAGACATCTCACTAGGCACAGTAACCTCACAACCAGCTTGACTGGAATGCTTGGTTTCATAAGAACCTTTCCCTATATGCACATTTGATTCCATAAAGTAAACCACTAGCTAGAGTAAGTGGGATAGGAGCTAAGGAGAGATGGGGCCATGATGTAATATGAGTGGTGTCAAAGTAACATTACAAGGAAACTGTCTTAAATAAGAGTGAAAAAATTAGGAGTACTATATTTCTTTATATTACTGTCTTGCTTGGAAAATAATGTCAATTATATCGATGATATTGTTTCATTAATGTCAATTATTAATGTCACATAATGCAAAAAATGGCAATATGATTTCAAAAGTTCATTAATTTACTCCTACTTTGGGGAAAATATAGTCTCCTACTTTCGAATATTAATTGTTTTTACTCTTATTTAAGGAAAGTTCTCAATACTACAAAATTAATACTATATAACATCTAGTGATAATTGATAAATATATAACCAAAAAGATAATTGAAGAAATGATATATATTTTTAACACACATTGAGAAAAGTAATAATATAGTAATAATTATAATAAGGACGATTATATCCAATTTCACATTCTCGTTATCATGCCTGTAATAATTGTAAAAAGAAAAATTTAATTACTATCGTATATTGTTTCACATTCTAATTAATTTATTATCGAAACATATTTTTATGTTTAAAATTTTTCACACAATGGAAAGTGGTAGCTACTACTTGTGAGGTATACAGAATATATTTTATATATTGACCCCATTTATATAAACATTAAATATATACTCACAAGTATTTTATACTCCGTATTTAGAATAAGTGGTATATACTATTTAAGTATATACTACTTATTAGAATATATAAGTAATTATAATGTTTTATAAGTGAGTGTAAAACATAGATTAATTATTAAAAAACATTAGAGTAATTAGTAAATATAATGTTTTATAAGTGAGTGTAAAACATAGAGTAATTATTAGAAAACATAGAGTAATTAGTAAATATACTAATTATACTTATAACTAATTATAATGTTTTATAGAATATATACATAGAGACATAGAGTGTATATTTAATGTTTATACTCTAAAGTGTATCAGAATAAAAGTGTAATTATAATGCTTTATAAGTTATTTAAGTATATTGGTCAAGTATTTTATTCTAAATAAGTCAGGTATACAGAATATATTCTAATTAATGTTTTATACTCACAAGTATTTTATTTACTTGAACCAAACTCTCTCTACGTATAATAAGTAGTATATACTCCGTGTATTATATACTTTGTACTATGCATATTAATATATCACTTACACCGGGAAGAAGAGACAGACTATACATCCCTCCGATGAGTGTGACCGTTCCGAAGATAATGAGAAAGTTAGCCTTGCAAAACGTGCGTATCACATACCAATAGAACATAAAGATTATGGGGACCCATATCATAATATTGGCAAAAATAAGCAAGAACCAATACTTTTTACTGCATAAAAAAATCGATCTTGTTAAATGTAAGAAGAAATAAACCAGTAATTTTAAACAACAAAATGTTACACTAAAAACACACCAAAATGCTGAACTCTGGTTGCACATGAGCTGATGAGCATGCATTATTAGGTATAAATATATGCATAAATATTTATAAGTAGTAAAATATATTTAAATTTGATCTCCCGGATATATTTATTTAAGCTTCATCCGCCTAAACATATATGGCTAATGGCATCTCTGGCTCAGCCACTAAAAGTGAGGAAGAGAAAGTCTAATGTATAGAGTAGTAATTAAGATGGAACCTAGATGGCGAGATGTGTATCTACTTTATTCACCCGCCTTTTGAAAATATAAATATCAAAAGTTTGCATTTCATTTTACGAAATTATAAGCTCAATCATAGCTTTATCTCATTTAAAGAAATTATTATAAGCTCAATGATAACTTTATCTACTACGTATTACCCCTGAAAAGGTTCATCATATTGACTTTTCTTAGTTAATGATGACGAACTTTGGCTAATAATTTTAATTATTACATTTGTATATAATTTATCAATTTTATACTTTTATGAAAATATTTTGAATAGGGAACATGTTGATATAATTTTCATATTCAAATCAATTTTGTGTTAACAAATATCATTAGTCAAAATTGATTGTTTTTTACCAAGAAAAGTCAATTTGGCGAACCTTTTCGGGACGGAGGAGTATTACATACTACGTATTAAAATTAATACAGCCATAAGTTCATAACTACACTATTATAAATAATCAGCTCATGAATTATACGTAGTACGTATTATATTATAGATTGACCCATCTACTCATAAGGCGAACTACTTCTCAAGCCATACTCAAATCTCTATTCACATAGAAATACTACGTATAAAGGTAATATGGTGGGGATCCAGAATACTATTTGCCATCAACATAGAAATACGAAGTATTAAGCTGCATTAAATACGAAATTAATGTGTGATTTATTAAATGTCGTAATTAAGTTATGAAAATTTTGAATACTTTTTTTAAAAAAAAAAATACTTGTGATAAATATGATTAATGTTAAATATAATAAATTTTATCTGATCACCAATCACACATTAAGACAAATATTATTATTTTAACTAATAAAGAAGTATCTAATGATTTTCTTGTTTTTTATATTAATGTAAAAAAATACACTGAGTAATATACATATAGTGTTTTGTTAAAATTTATTCCTAGTCAATTCACTGGTGCATTGCACGGATAATAGGGTGTTTTGTTATTTTGGTTTTGTACATTTAGCTAGCTAGGTTGTGTCCGCTATGTCTATAACTTCATTCACTTACCAAATTAATCATGTAATTTATAAATGAATCCATATAAGACTTTTGCACCGTAAAGTACAATCAGCCATAAAATTTTTGGTCCAAAATTAATTATTGAGGTCATAGGTTTAGGTTCTATTTAGAGCTCTCACGTACCTTTTGTCTTCGTCATCTTTTTCAGGGTGGCACCACTTATGTATCTTATTGATGAAACTCATTATGCTAATAGACTGGAATATTAAAAAGAACCTGCAAAAGCAGATCGTATTTATTATCATCGTCAACATTTTTTTTTTTGCCAAACTAATAGATCGGACTGTATATTGGAAGCTTAATTGAGTTGGTTTACTTTACCAAGCTCCGGCATATGCAAACCCTCCTGTTGAGAAGTAAGGATAAATTAAAACATCACTATACAAATTAAAAATAGTAGCAAAATCATACATTTTTGGCTTTCATACTTCACAATGTGTAACTTTTACTTCATACTTCTTTCCTTTTTTAATTGTAACGTTTTCATTTTCACGTTTACCAATACAAAAATCTGATGATTAATATATTCAATGTGTGATTAGTAGAAATAAATAAAATATCATTTTCTAAAATTTTTAAATGAGAAGTACTAGTATTTGATACTATTTTTCTGAAAATAAATTTTGAATTCATAATTAAATAAAACGAGGTAAATATAGGACATGTGAATAGTGTAAAGTTAGTTCAACATGTTATAATTATTTTAGAATAGTATTTGATTATGTATAAATACTAACTATGAAATTGATAATTTAGTAAATTATGCCAAATTTAACATTGTTTTGAGTATTATATATGTTTTGTGTGTCGTCATATTATTAGTAATTTATGTGGTCAAAATAGAATATACATATAATATATATGTTTTTTTTTCAAAAATATAACTAAAATAAAACTAATTAATTCAAACAAATATACGTAACTAATAGTTTAGTTTGCTCCAATATAATGGCATGTATGATCACTTAAGTTAAAAATTCAACAAAAAATACCATGATTAATTTACTACTATAGTCGTTAGTTACATTTTTATAGATAATCTTTATTTTAAACGTAATTATAAATTTTATTTCTAATATAAATAAATATCGTAGTAGTATTACGATTAATAAAGAACAGTTAATGTGCTAATTTAGGTAGAGAAGATTAATTGTACTACCGTAGATTGAAATCATCTCTGGCGGGAGAAAAAATGAAATGAAAATCAGGAGACAAATCAACACAAACTTCGAAATCCAGATTCCTATGCTCCCTGAGTGCCACCTTCCCCTACAGCTATCCTTCTCTGAAGTGCCTACCGTGGAGACAAACATAACAAAGAAGAACATCTATATACGGGCGAACCAGTTAAGTTTTAACTCTGCAGAATCTTTTTTTAACCACTGACCTTATTCCTCTCAAAATAGAGTAAAGTATACGTACTGCATATCTTTTTTATCCATTTTTATTTAACTAAACACTATTTTCCAAGTCAATGATGTTAAATTTTGACCAGTATATATTTATACACGATAATATACTAATATTGATGATGTGAAAATGTTATAGACATTTAGGGTTAATAAATTATTAGGGATGTATGCATTCCCATTGACCAGTGTAATATAATTTATTTCTATTCGTCTTTATTTTCCCTCCCTACGTTAAAATATCCAATTGCCCATAATTAACTAAGCCTTCTCCTATCAAATAAATATTAAAGAAATAGCTTCAAATAAAAAATAAAACACACACATACTTCGTATATAGTATCCAATAGTAGTAATATTTTATTGTCAAAATAGAATTAACTTATTTAGTTTTCATAAAGTAGGACTCATACAAATTTAATTGGGAAATTTATATACTTTCTTATATTAGGATCAAATAAGTCATATTTTGGATTAAAATATAAATACTCAAATTGTTCATTGATCATATGTTTTAGTCTTATTTTGAGCAATTTCTTTATTTAGTTTTATGTTTTACTTCAATTTGAAAAGTGTTTTCATAAATATATGGGGCAACAACCACAAGATTTCTAATTCCTTAAAACTTAACTAAAAAATTAATCACTATATATATATATATACATATATATACATACATACATACATACATATATATATATATATATATATATATGTATATATGTATATATATATATAGGTTCTCTTCAAATATAAAAAAAAGGATACAAAACATCCGAAACTCATTCTAAAGACTCCTTGTGCCTCCAAACAATCTGCTTTACCATTACATTGTTTTAGCCCTGCAACCAAATTGATAGTACTCCTTATGTATCATTAGAACAACCCATAGTTAAAAGTTCAAATGTTCATCAATTACAGATTCACAGGCTACCACTTTCATAAATTACCAATATTACTCTTTCTTCTTCTTCTATTTATAAGATTACTTCTCGTGCTAAAGACTTATACAGTTATACTAATCATTTCTGTACTATATAGAGAATCCTGTAATATATACTTTGTTTTAAATGAGAATATGACCAAGAAGTGAAAATGATTCTGGAGTGTTGGGATTTCCGTGTAGAATATTATACTTCTATGAAACATAAATGTGCATTATGATAGATTTTTTTTGAAAGGATGCATTATCATAGATTAGAAAAAGTGAATCATTTTTAAATGTGCATTATGATAGATTTTTTTGAAAGGATGCATTATCATAGATTAGAAAATGTGAATCATTTTGGATTATTATCATTTCTCAGGAAAAGAATTCTCCCACCGACATCGCACCTTAGGGTAGTGTGGGATTTCAATAGAAAGCAGCCCTAAGCTTCATATGACCCCCATAAACGGGAGGGTAACCTCCAAAAGGGAAGAATTGATTCGTTTTCCTAAATTTGTTTCGTAAAAAAATAATTGAAATAAATTTTCTGACACGTAGATATTGGGAGTATTAAATTAAATAAGAAGAATTATGCTTACTTCGCATTCCGTTCAAAGAAGAATAACCGAATTCCGTACCGCGAAGAATCCAAGACAGTATACTTATAACCAGAAAGATTGATCCATAAGCATATTTAGCCGCCGAATGACTGCAGGCCGGGACATACTCCCTGTCGCTCACCATTAATCTCACAATTTAATAACAGCTTGCCGCAATGGATACTTATATTTAGAAATCTGAAAAACCATCATTCTCAAATTGAATTATCTTAGAAATTGAACAGAAAATTCAACTACCGAAGCATTGGCACTTTTCATTTAGCGATTCCATGTAAACTACAAATTATACCGTGAGATCATTATATCGTGAGTATGGTGTGACGATCCTACTATGATGTAGTTTTACCAAACACTTTGTTTTTGTATCAACAAATAACATTTGCATACCGTCATCCGTTCTTTAAAAGTTGTAGCGATTGACTTTAACGTTTGACAACACACAACTTTGACTATCAAGATGTTTTTACTTGGACCATAGTCCGTCCCAGACCAGGCCAGACCAGACAAGTTCAGACCAAACCAGATCAGACTTGAATTGTTATAAATTTATAATTATAAAAATACAAAGAGACCAGACATTACCAGACCAGATCAGACCAGATCAGATCAGATCAGACCAGTTCAGACCAGACCAGATCAGTTCAGACCAGACCAGACCAGCAAATTACAGTCCAAGTAAAAACATGCTTACTCCATAGTAAACATTAAAAAAAGTCAATATTTTGAAAATTTACATTAATAGAAATTAAATAATAAGTTATACATAGTACCTAATTGTTGATTGATTATATTTAAGAATCAAGCATTCTTATTTGATTGATTATATTTATGAATAAAAAAAATCTCAATATTGAAACTTTTAAAGAAGGGATGAAGTACTTTGACACACACTCCTTACCTTCCCCATTTAGTTTACATACCTAATGCAACTCCAATGCAGTTGTGCATTGCTGCTGAGATGGCAAAGTAATGAACATGGTGTATTCCAAATGTGGACCAAAAATTTAGGGAATAGTAGGGTCTATTCAATTTGAACTCCAATGCAAATAACAAAGAAAAACTAAATAAAAAGCAAAAATGAAAATGAATGGCCGAAAATCCTAGAGGCCTACATATGCCTTGTTGGCTTTGTCAGAGGGTGAGACCCAAGGTCTCAATATGGACCTACTCCTTGACATTGTTCCTAATTATTAAGTGCCAAGTCACCTACAATGGAACTACATTATTTTGCATTGGAAAGTAGACTTTCATTTTAATTTTGCATTTGATGATGTGGAGGGGCAATGCACCTCTCCATTGGAGTTGCTCGAAGGGATGGCCGGATGGGGGTTCTAGAGAGAGGAAAAATAGGAGCAAATTGCGGAACAGAGAAAGAAATGGGGAAGGTATTGACTGAAAATTACGGTGTACTTTTAGCAAAAAGTACTTTATTGAAAGGATCATTTTAATGGTTGATCATTCTTTTACCTAACAAAGTTAAGATGACAAATACTCCATATAAAAGTTGGACTATTTTAATATGGATTCACATATTTTACTGTGCTTTCTAACCAAGTATAAATGTATAATACTCCGTAGTATACATATACTCCCTTCATTTCAATTTGTTTGATACACTTTGACTTGTCAAGGATTAAGGAATAAAATTTATTGAGTAGAGTAAATTTTATTGTAGAGTACACTGTTTGAACACTGTTTGACAATGTTTGACACTGTAATGATATAGATTTATTTACCAAATAAGGAGGTAAGGAAGTGTGACATTCATTTTAAAACATCTAAAAAAGGAAAGTGTGTCAACATTTTTAAATTGAGATGAAATTGAACATGTGATCTCCTCCTTAAGAGTATACTTGAACTAATGCTATCAGAGCACTAAGGAAGTAATGATATGTATTCGAACATCAAAACAACAATTGAGAGCGGGTAATTAGCAAAGATCGATATACTAGTAAGAAGTACGGAGTACTATTTTATAAATATTTCACACTATGCAAGAACATAAATGCATTGTTATTTGATTGATTACATTTATGAATGTTTAGTCTTTATATATAAGGAATTGATACTCAAAACCTTCCATATCATCCAAGCTATATAGTATATAGTACCTTAAATTAGCACTTAATAATACGCTCTTGTGCGTGTAAAACAAATGGCCAAGTGATATACATATATACCTGGGAAAGCTAAAAGAATTAAAGCTTGATTTGATGAACGATCGATGAAGCACTTCAAATTCTCATTTGTAAATTTCAATTGAAGAGACTTTTTAATTTCAACAAATTGGAAGCCTCGATCATGAGGTTTGAAAATGATGAAGACTCACTTCTTGTATATATCAGACGACCATAAATGAATATATATATAGGGAGTTTATAATTTATATATACGTAGTATATAGCTATATTTATCTATAAATATAGTTATATGTGTCGCTAATGACTTTAAAACGAGATCAAAATTTAAAGTATTGGTTTTGTTTTCTTTTAGAGACCTCACTAATGACGTTAAAACGAGATCAAAATTTAAAGTACGAATAGGACTTAAATTAAATATATTGTTTCAAATAAGACTACAATATAAACAAAGTGTACAAATGAGATTAAATATGTTTGATTCCTAAAATTGGATTTATTTGACCCCGTCAAAAGTGTAAAACTTCCCCATTTAGGAGTGAATAAATATATATGAGTTTATAAAGAAAATAATGGTAGTCCTATTTGTGCATTTTGTCTATGTTTTGATCTTATTTAGAGAGTTTCTCAAAATAGAAGTTAAGTAGACTCTCTTTTCGTATTCTGTCCCTACCATAACCTAATTGCGAAATCATATTTTTGTGTTATAAAAACAATTTTTTTTTAAATTTTTTTTATTAAGATAATAAAAAATTTAAGAAAAATAAAAAATATAAATAAAATGTTAAAAATTAAAAATTAAAAACTTTGAAAAAATAAAGCACATAAAAAATGGAGGTCTCTTCCACCGATCGGTAAAATTGTCATCTAGTACATGTAAAAAAATGTTCTTTATCTCTCAAATTGTCATAAATATAACATTGTTAAAAAACATTGTTACTCTTTGAAAATATCAAAACTTGATGGCGATGCTGGAAGGTAGTGAAGTTTTATTTTAATTCTTTAATTTTTATTTTTATTTTATTATTTTGATTTATTTTATTTAATTATATTTAATTTTTTTATTTCTTACAATTCTCATTTAAATAAAAAAATTAATTATTTTTTATGTTTCTATTATTAAAAAAATATGATTTACTTATTAATATATGGAAACGGTAGGATAGAATAGTTAATTACTTATAGTCATGTTCTTGCAATATAATTTAGCTTTTATTTACTCTTACTTACGAATTGCCTTATACTTGTATATATTATGTCCCTTATGAGTTGAGTTTACCATGTTTTACATTCAACTTAATTCTAATATTTATCAACTTTATTTTTAAGTAATTGATTTGTGATTCTAGATATACCTCTCTGCATATATCATTATTAACCGATATATATATATATATATATATATATATATATATATATATATATATATATATATATATATATATATATATATATATATGACTAAAACAGATATGTTTACAAAATGTTAAATATAGTGACTGAAGTAGTAATTTAATCATAGTAACTAGTGTTCAATCATTACACTTAAGTGACTATATATAAGACTATATTATAGTAGCTATTAGTTATATAATAAATTTATTTTAAAAAACCTCTCAAATTAAACACATAACTTTTTACCTTAATATTATATTTTCGTGACTGATTAACCGTGTGAAAGTTATTAGGGATCGAATGGAGATGTAATTATTTAGGTTGAAATTGTAATAACGAAAAGTAAAACTTTAATAAAATCATGTTTAAGAATGATTAACAAATATCGGTCAAAAGTCTACTTTTATTTTCTTTTCCCCTTTCTTTTCTCTTCTACCTATTCTGCGGTCGTCTTCTTCCCTTCAACTCTGTCTTTTCTTTTTTTTTTGTTTTTTTTTTGTTTTCACCTTGTACTTCTTTCTCCTCCCCTCTTCTTTTTAGTTCTTTCAATCCCTTTATTTTTTCTAATTTCATCAATATTCTATTAACCATAGCCCATAAGTATTATATAAACATGCACATCTGAATATCCGATTCAATTTCGATAAAAACTTCCATGTATGGAACCAAATTTGTTAAGATGGACAGACCCGAAAAAGATGTAATCGACTTTGCAATTGAATCCTCACCGGTGAGAAGTGGCCTGGTGGGTTACTACTTTAGACCCACTAAGAGAAGAGAACGATCTTTGTTTGCCGGCCCTCTCTCCGCCTCTTTTAGGTTGGCTGCAGGCTGTTTTATTTATACCACAACTTCCTCACCATCCTCTTCATAGGCTTCTTATTCTTTTGAATTAAGAGAGCCAAAAACTTCTATCGAAACATACGAGATCGAAGGAGCAGGCTAGTAGCTGGAGTTTTTATCCATTCGAGTGAGATGGATAAAAGGTTTTACCAGTTAAACAAGTTCAAGTCACCTCGGAACATTTTGAGAGGGATGCTATTTAAGTTAAGATCATTTTGGAATTATACATATATCAGATTAATATTAGAAGAATGCAAATATGTGGGATAATTGATTTGATTTTTTCCAATAAAATAAGTTTACATTTTTTATGATATCACAACCCTTAAATAAGTTTACATTTTTTTTATCGTCAAAACAGATGTCTTAAATTGACATCACAACATTCAGATATGGGGTAAAATGACAAAAGGACCACACACAACCATCAGCCCTCGAACCAGGCTTAGTAGGGGTGGGCGCGGTCTGGAACGGTCCAGTAAATTAGTAAAACCCGTAATGTATCCGTGAGGGTTTTAACGGTCCGGTACGGTCCGGTTTCAAGGATGGAACCGTTCGGTACCATGTCATTTCGGAACGGTACAAAACGGTACGGTACAATGCCAAACACATGCTAACAAATTTGAGCAAAACTTGCAATTAGTAAAATTCAAAACTATGTTTTCATATTTTGGCCCGTGGGCCAACTGGCAACCCGGTGGGTCAACCCACTTAAACCCGCAACCCGTGTGGGTTGACCAGCGAAACCCGCAAACTAATTGTGTCAGAATTTTTTAACCCTAACCCACCTATAAATGGGTTTAAACGGGTTAGCCCACGGGTTTCGACCCATTTTGACGGCTGTAATTGAAAGTGTATAAGTAATAACCGTGCCATTATTTCATATTCTATTACATAATAATAAAGGAATTAATGTTACATATTAATTTTGGTCATTGCATATATGAAAACGATTATTGCCATTTCTATGCAGTA